GTAGGCCTGCGGACGCGGTATGCCCGACGCGCCCTGTAGGCATGCGGACGGGGTTTATGTGGATGTATACACACCAGTAAGGAACATGAGGGAATTAATAAAATCTGGAGCAGACAGAGTCTGGAGCAGTTCAGTTAAGCTTTGAAAACAAAGTGGAGACTCTGGTTGCCATGGGCAAGTGCTCCAGATTATATGAATTCTCCGCATTGCATTTTATTATAATTATTATACAGGATTTATATAACGCCAACAGTTTGTGCAGCGCTTTACAATATAAGGAAGTTTTAAAAGTGTAGCCAAAATGGTTACGTGTTCCTTTTCAGTGCTTGTTTCTTTTTTATTGGGCTTGTTATATTTCGCAATTGTGCCATGTCATAGCTGTGGTTTGTGGTTTACAATTTACATACTACGTACATTCAGATTTTTTTATTTTTTTTTGTCTAAGGTTCATGACCATTGTTATGGTAATTTGAATTTCCAAGAGTATATACCATGTGGAAGTGTGGCTGGGCTCTGCTGCAGCCGGTAATACTGTAAGAGTATCATCGTGTGCTTTTTCTGTTATCTAAAATCTTTAGTAAAAGATTCATTTGCAACTCCCTGTGGATTCTTGTCACAATATTATATTACTGGGTTCCTGTGCACGTGTTTAAGGTCATCTTCTGCCCTGTATTTATAACCTTGAGTGGTGAAAGCTTTCATGTAAAACTACTTTTAATCCTTTATGGAAGGTCCTGTACCTGTCCCTTGTAATCCTCAAAGACCGGAAGAGTTCAAACGTTAAGCAGAGGAAGCGTTTTGTTTTCTTTTTGTTGGTCCTGTACATTGTTGTCCAGTTTTTCTGCTTTTATAGAAGCTTTGAGTATAATGACTTGATGTAGATGAGTGTATGGGACTACTATAGCAGTATAGAGTGCAAGCAGATTCAGTGTACGTACAAAGGAACAATCAGGCCACACATATGCAGTGTGAAGGTGTAATGAAAGACAAAGGAGTTGAGCTCATAAATGCTCGGGTGTAGAAACATTTTGCTCAGCCGCAGGGTTGGATTACCTGATATATTTTTTTCTCTTTTCTTTGTGTTTCAAGGTCATAATTCAGAAGAGAAATGGCACATCTGCAGTATCAGCTTTTTGGCTCG